ATGTTTATAAACGACACCAGGCACGCTAGGTCTTCCCGAGCTTTGTAACCTTCCTCTCCCGCACCTCCACGCCTCAACAAATGTGGACTGAAGGAATGAATGAATCAAGTAGCAAGTATCTTGAAACTATCAGCCTCCCTGCTGTCCCCACGAAGGTGAGGGCTGAGGATCAGCGGACCCCACAGCCATCAGCACCTGTCCTGGGTACTGCACTGCAGCCTAGCTAGGCCCCTCTCCATGTCCGCCAACTCTGCCCAAAGTCAGAGGGCCTAGAAACTGAGCTTGGCTGACGGTCAACAGACACAAGCCACACAACTGCATTGGCATCCCTTCTGAGTAAGGCTGGGCTGAGGGCAGGTGGGACGCAAACCCACTCAGGCCTGGGCTCTCTCCAAATACCTCCCCGACTCCAACAGCCTGTGCTTTCTCTCCTCCCGGACTCTGGCCTCCCACCAGCCTGCATCCTGGGGGCTGCAGTGTGGACCAGGTGAGGCAGCCCTCCTGTCCTCTGCCATCCCATGGTCTCCTCAGGCAGAGGGTGATACATGAGCAGCTGCCTGCCCCGTCTCCACATGGCTGTCCTATCTAGGTCCCCCCCCCCCCCCACCTCTCTCTGCCTGGCAGGGAGGAGCTGCTAGAATTAAGCGGATTTCATGCTATTTTCAAAGTCATTTTCCATGGAAATTTTTTTTTTATATCGTTAAACCTACTTTTCTGCTGCTCCTCATCTCCTAAAAGCTTCCTCCTCTTCCATGAGATAAACCAGTAATGGCAACGTTTAGGAACCTGCTAGTGACACCCTACAGGCAGCCTGGGGTGTCGCTAGCCAGGGTTGGGGACAGGAAATCACACTAGAACCTTCCTGCTAGAAGTCAGGCCAGTGAGCTGGGCAGACAGCACCCGGGGCCAGAGTAGGCTCCCCATGCACACAAACCCCAAGCTTTGCTTCTCGGCCTCCCAGCCCTGTCCTAACAACTGCCTTTGTCAGATGCCTGTCCCTCAGCTTCCTATCCTCCCGTGACAGCCACCAAACTGGGGTGTTTTACCGCCAATGACCAGGGTCGTCTGAGGAGCAATTGAAGCATTTCCCAGAGACCCCCATGCAGCTTACACTTCTCAAAGAGTTGGCCCTAAAGGGGGCAAGGACAAGCTATGAGATGCCAAAGCCAGCATATGCTTCCTTGTGACCCTAGTGCACTTTTTTGTACATCATATTGTGTCAGACCACAGGTGCCAGTAAACCGAGGCCTTTTCAAGGACAAGAGTTGAGGCCAAATGGCTCTGCATCCTCAGCTTACAGACCAGGGCTGAGTCTACCATGGGCTGCTGGATAGGGGCCTATTACATGTGCCAGAACCTTCTGTGAGCAAGACTGATCCAGTACCTCAGCCACAGATGATTGAACCAGACTCACGCCAGCAAATGGACTCAGATGCGACCTGGCATGAGAGCTGTGCTCAGGGGAAAGGATGAGGATGGCCTGGGCCAATCAAATTCTCTTCTCTGTGATAATCCAGCAGTGTGGAACCATGTGAAGCCTGCAATGTTTCTAGGGTCCTGCTGGGATGGAGATGTGGGAGAGAGAAAATTCTAGGATGACACCCAGCTTTCTGAACAGTTAAACTGATAACCTGATGCTGGCAGCAATCAGGGTAAAAATTACTTGAAGAGCAGGTTGGTAGGGAGTGGGGGAATGAGCCCAGATTGGCAGTTGGTGAGATTGAGGTGCTGGTGGAATATACAGGAGGGCAAGTTGAGATGGAGGTGCATGCTCAGGGCCCAAGAGCCACCCAAGGGCCTGAGTGCTGGATGCCAGAGAAATATTTCAGGAGCAACCTCATGCATCAAGGTAAAGAAGATGCGGGCCGGCCCCATGGCCGAGTGGTTAAGTTCATGCGCTCCAATTCGGTGGCCCAGGGTTTCACCGGTTCAGATCCTGGCACGGACATGGCACAGCTCATCAGGCCACGATGAGGCAGCATCCCACATGCCACAACTAGAAGGACTCACAACTAAAAATGCACAACTATGTACTGGGGGGCTTTGGGGAGAAGGAAAAATTTTTAAAAATTTTAAATCTTAAAAAAGAAAAAAAAAGATGATCACCAAAATATAGGACCCCTGCCTCCAGAGGATAAATATATAAACATGAATTTTTTTTAATTGTTCACATTTTACCTGATTTCTTTCTCAGGGTAAAGCTTTATATTCAAAATGTTTAGAACCAGTTGTCAGTTTACAATGGCACAGACTGTGAAGACGTACCGCTAACCTTACATATTCTGTTTTCTCCCTTTATTCCCACATTGTTCATTTCACTGGAATTCCTTTATGAATCTGAGATAGAAAATGGTACAAAAAAATACAATAATTTCAACAAACGTCAGCTTCAAAATCAGCATTAAGTATTCTTAGCAAATATGGTCACTGCTTAGGTATTTCTGCTTTTCTAAGCAGATTATAAAGGAAATAGCTTCTCTACACAAGAATAACTTAACCATACTTATAAAACCTTTTCCAGACCAATAAATATTGACATTTTTATCTTATTTTTTTTTTCCAACAGAGACTAAAGTATCTCCCTGTGGGTTTGGGGCTCAGCGCTGGCCTCTGACAAAAGGACCTTTCAGTCTTGGGGCAGGAGTGTCTTCAGTCCAGAGGGTAACCTTGAGCAAGAGTCTCCTTGGACATTAACTTCCTCCTAGAAGACCAGAATTAGATTCCCAGGGGTTCTCACACTGCACGTCATTGTTACCAATAGCAAATGCTCATCTAGCACTTGCTATGAGCCAGGTACTATTCTATAGGCATTACTGTAATACTCGTTTTACAGATGGAGAAAGAGGCCCGGCAATGTTAAATAACTCGCCCTTGTGTGTATTCCGCCTCTCCAATGTCCATGTTTAGAATCAGTAGGTCTGGAATCCACACTCCTAAGAAGCTCCCTTGAGGGACTGCCATCCAGGTGATTTTTAGACCCCATTGTGACACACTGCTCCAGGCACCAGATCTGCTCTGGTTCTGGGAGCGCAGGGGAGCATACAGGAGAACCCCGAGCCCCAACCAGGGAGGTTCTCAGGAAAAGGGTGGTGCCACCCTCTGACTGCCAAGGCAGTAAAGGGGTAGACTGGGGGTTAGAAATAGCTAGATAGGGCCATGCCTACTGGGAACCCAGAGATGTTGTCTCTTGCTGCACCACATTGCCACCTGCTGGCTGTAGGTGGCCATCTCAGGCCAGGTAAGAACATTACTTGTCCAACCCCTTCACCAGATGTTAAGGGACTACCAAGTGACTACATTGTTTGGGGGTTCAGTGGAGACGCCACAGATCTTAAGACAAGCCATGACAATGCTGCATGGTTAGCACTATGGGAGGTGGCAGTAGGTAGTGGGGAAAAATGAGCTAGAGGTAGGTAGGAACCAGACCGGTAGGCCTCCTTAGAGTTTGGATTTTGTGCTAAAAGCAAAGGGAAATCCAGCATGAGTCAGATTTAGGTTTTAGTAAGATCATTCTGGCCTTTGTTGGGAGGATGTAATGGACAGTTTGAATGAAGGCAGAGTCAATTTGAAAACCATATGAGTATTGGGATGAGAGCAGCCACTGGCCTAGATTAGGGGGTGGCCACGGCGATGGAGAAAAACGGGCAATGAGAAATATTTAGGAAGTAGGATTGATTAGGTCTTATAAAACTAAATCCCAAAGGATAACAACAAGAAAATCCTAGTGGCCCCATTTCATTCATTCCTTCTTTTGACAAATTATAGCACCTACTGTGTGCCAGGAACTAATTTGCCTGCTGAGAATGCAGTGGTGTAAGCAAGTCAGGAAAAAGTCCTGCCTTTCATGGAGCTTATGTTCTAACATAAGGGGGGAGGTGGGGAAGACGGGCAGCAGTGGGGCGGTGGCGGGAATAATAAGCAAACAAACAAGAAGAACATCAGATGGGAATAAACGCCACGTAGAGAATTTTAAAGGGTGATGCGATAGTGCTACTGAGATCTGAATGGTAAGGATCCTGCCCTGTAAAGATGAGAGGGAAAAGCATTCTAGACCAAAGGAACAACGCAAAGGCCCTGACAGCAGAAGTAAGTGTAGCACGTTCTGATCAGAATCAGCCAGTGGGCTGGGGTCTGCTGGGTCAGTCAGGGGCCAGGTTAGGAAGGCCTTTGTAAGGCAGCGTAAGGGATTCTAAGAGGGAAGGGAAGCCACTGACACATTTTAAACGGGAAAGTGATAGAATCAGATTTCGCTTAAAGATCTCTCTGGCTGCTCTCTGGAGAATGGATTGTATGGGGCAAGAGTGGAAGCAGGGAGACAGGTAGGATGCCGAGATGTGGGCCAGGTGGGATGATGATGGCAGCAGCAAGATGGGGAAGATTCTGGGCATACTTTGGAGGCAGAGTCAACAGGACTTCTGATGGATTGGATATGGGGATGAAAAAACAGCAGAACCAAGAATAACTCCCCAAGACCAAGAGGATGACAGCCCCTGTAGGAAAGCTGGACAGGAGGAGAAAGGGCCCAAGAGAACTCCTTCCCCACTGACAACACATCCCAGCAAAGAAAGGCCTGGCCTTAAAGCTCAGCCCCACTGGAGGGGACAGGCAAGTTAACCACTCTGGGGCTCAGTTTCCTTGCCCGTGACTGGGCCTTGCCTGCCTGGGCACACGGCCAGAACTAAATAGAATGAATACCTGACACAGACTTGACCCTCGTGCTGGCCTGGGCCCTGAGCACACTTAGTGGGGCAGTTTTCTCCCATTGGTGGGAAGTATCTTTCCAGGCAGCCATAGCCTGGCCCCCAGCTGGGAGAGCACCTAAGGTCACTTCTAGATCCAATTCTAAGCAGAATTCCCAGAGTAATCCCTTCTACTCCTCAAGCCCTGGACCTGGGACTATCCCATCAAAAGAAGTGGTCACTCTCAGTCCCCTTAAACCAAAAGGAAATGTGGGAATGGGCAGTCACATCCTGACAAAACAAATACCAGAGACCATGGGCTGTGGGCACCACATCACTTTATTTCTTTGGTTTTCCGACTTCACTCTTGGACAATGCAAATTCAGTCTCTCACCTGCCTGGCTGCTGTATGGTCCCTCACTGAAGATAGGACACAGTCTGTGAGGAGAGGCTCTGCACAAAGACGGGGGGTCGTCAAGAGCCAGCCAGGCTGGCAGAGGACTGCAGGGTCCACAGCAGATGGACCAAGCTCCGGTAAGCAGAGACTCGAGGCCCTTGCCCCTTACCACACTCCTTGCAAGGGACAGGCCAGCCCCTCAGTGATCCAGCTCAGGGCCCTCCATTAGAGGCCATCCTTGATTCTTTCTATACATCCCTGCTTCTGCTCATGCCGAGCCTGGCACCCTCTCCCTTGTGGATGTCAGACAGAAGCCATTGCCCGCTCCACACTTGATGGCTAATGTTCCTTTGGGAAACATCTTGAGTAAGGATGGTGCCAACCGCCAGAAGGAACTGAAGACATATATTTGCCCAGAGGGACAGATGGCCATACTATAATATTCCTCCTGTCCCCGGGAAAAGCTGAAAGCAGCTTTAGCTAACCAACCCCCCTCCAGACCACCACACACATGCAGCTTCCAACACCAGCAAGGGGGCCCAGCCAACCCACTTAAATCAAAACAGAAAACTAAAACCAAGACACAATAAAAGTAAGAATGGCAAACAACTGAAGTGAACATCTCTGGTCCTGCAGCTCTCCACAGGAGACCAGATGGCTGATTTCTGGCTCTCTCTGCCCTGGAGCCAGGAAACAACACAAATCTGCCCTTGGATTCAGGATAGACACTGTGGGAGCAGGAACAAATGACATCCTGGCCAAGCCAGGGAGCAACTCAGGTCCCTGACCCTCTCCAACCTGGTCCCCCTTCCTCCCAGCTCCCTTCACACCTCCCTGTCAGCCATCAACCAGGGTGAGGCCATCATAGAGGGCGCGCTTCCACATGTAGTAGGTGGAGCGGGCAGTGAAGGGGAAGAGGGCACTGAACTCCTTGTAGGAGGGGAAGCTCTTGGACTGGAAGCGCTTCTGCAAGAACAGCTTGGCCTGGGCCTTGAACTTTGTGGTGGTGAGCATGTCCATCACCAATACTTGGCCGTCCCGGCCACCCGCCACTGCCACCACAGGACGGCTAGACAGGGATCCACTGTGGGGCTGGCCCTGGGCTGTGGCCGCCCCTGGCAGGACCCCCTCTCTGGAAGGCCCTCCCTCAGCCTTCCCTGGATCCTCTCCTGGAGAAGCCCCCACCTTTGGGGTCCCTGCAGGTGGGGTCATGGCAGCTGCCATGTTCCTGCCAGCTTCTTTCTCCCGCTTCTCCCCTGCCTCCTGCACCCCTGCTTTGCCCAAAGTGGAGGCCTGCATCTGAAGTTTGGACAGGCTTCTGGGCCAGCCCCGGGCAAGACTCTTCCAAACCCAAAAGGCAGAGGGTGACAGGCTAGGGTAGCGGAGGCGAAAGCGACAGAAAGGAAGATGCCCACTCAGCACCTGCTTGCGGGCAGCCCTGCGCAGACGCCTCTGCCAACGGGACAAGGGCATCCTCAGGGGCAGGAACTCCCGGGGGGCAGGTGGCCCCCGACCCATTGCTTTCGCTGCCCCCTCTCCCACCTCACCCTTCCAAGGGAGTAGGGCCTCCTCCCCAATAGACGTAGGCTGGGGACTCCCAGCCACTGGGAGGGCTGGTGGCGGCTTGAAGGTGGGGTTCCTTCGGAGGGCCTTTCGGCGCCAATTGTAGTAGGTGGACCGGGAGATGCCAGGGAACCTGCGTTTGAAGCAGCGATAGGGTACCAGCGTATTCAGGGAGATGCAGTGCTCCAGGTACAACTTGGCCCGTTGCATTAAGACCATTCCAGGGCTTGACACGGCCAGTGAGGAGCATCCGAGCCCCTCGACAACCTGCTCCTCTGGCAGCTTCTCCAGCTCCTCCATCGCCAGTGCCTCCTTGGGAGCCAGGGCCTGGCAAGCACCAGAGCCCAGCAGCTCGTGCTTCCAGGCGTAATAGGTTGAGCGCGAGATCTCAGGGAACCTCTGGAGGAACTGTTGCAGAGGCACGAGGCCCCCACGGTGGAAGCTGTCCTGCAGGAAGTGCTTGGCCGAGAAGCGGGTAGCCACCTTCTGCCGGTGCTCCTGGGACTGCCGCCGCCAGCGGTAGAAGGTGCTCTTGGTGACACTGTAGCGCTCACAGAGGTGGGAGTAGCTGAGGCCAGGCTCCCGGTTGAGCAGCTCCAGGGTCTTGGCCGGTGGCGGCAGTGGGGCCAGAGCTGAAGGAGCTAGGGCCGGGCCGGTAGTACCTTCAGCCTCCACCTCCTCCAGCCCCACCACAGGGGCAAAGTACTGGTGGCGGAAGAGGTGGCTGGTGAGCGGCTGGCCAGCCCACATGATGTGCAGTGTGGCAGGTGTGTGGTCACAGCGGCGGGGCCGGATGACACGGTTAAAGTAGGGCCGGATCTTGAGGTTGCGCATGGGGTAGATGGAGTAAATATTGCGCTGAAGGACAGAGGCGAGGGCGTACAAGTGCCACACATTGGAGAAGCTGCTAGGAAAGCAGGTAGCTTTGACATCCGCGTCGAAGATGGCCTCCAGCGTGGCAGACGGCAGGCTGGTCATCTCAGGGGACTCCTCGGAACACAGGGAATAGCGCACGGCCTGCAGCATCACCTTGGAGTCAATCATGCCCTGGAGGTAGTAGTGTCTGTGCAGCAGCATCTCCACCACAGTCCGGGCCCGCAGCTCCAGGCTGAGGCCTGCGTCACCCCACAGCAGCATGCTGACCGCCTCAAAGAGCAAGCTGCCCTCGCCCTTGCACATCAGCGGCAGCATGTTCCGGGGAGCATCCTCTGGATACAGGCTCAGGGCCACAGGGTCCACCTCCAGCACCTGGGGGCCGGGGCCCCCCTCCCGGCAGGTGGGGAGAGTGAAGGAAGACAGGACCTGTTTGGCCTCGAGGGCAGCACCCACAAGACCCTCCAGGCCCTCGGACTCCACTGCCTCTTGCAACTCCTGCAGCACCTGCTGCACCAGCTGCTCCCGAGATTTCATCCTATCAGGGCAAAGAACAGAGGGCAAAGGTCAGGACATGGTACCCAGATGACACCCAGCAATGGTGCCCTGTCCAGTCCTGCACTTTCTCCCTCAAGATAATGTCCATCCACTCCCATTCCCCCAGAGCAAATAACGGCTAAGTGCCTCCTGGGGTCTGTTTCATCACTCAACATACTGAGGAAGAGCTTAGTCTCCGGAGCCTGGCTTTTGGTTTGGCTTCATTTTTGGCACCTGGACAGGGACTTGAACCCTGGACCTTCAGAGTCTAGCTTTGAATCCTGGCTCTGATATTAGCCTGGGCAAGTCACTTAACTTCTCCTTGCTTCTGGTTCCTTTTGTGTAAAATGGGGATAATAATAAAAATATCTGCCTTATAGTGTTGTTGTGGGCATAAATGAGACAACGAGAATAAAGGATGGAGAAGAGAAACATATACACACACACTCTTATATATCCAGGCTGAGAGGAGTTCCTGGCACATAGTGAAGTACTACGGAAGCGTTAGCTATTATGGAGTGTTAACTAATACTATATATTATGTAATACAGTTATAAAAGCTGTACCTCTGTACCTGTTAAACGCTTACAATCACATAGAGCTAAAACCGGTCTGCCTTTCCCTACAACAGTGATTCTCAAGTATGGTCCGTGGACCCTATGGTCCGTGGAGTTCCATGAGACTTTTTCAGGGGGTCTGCAAGTTAAATTATTTTCATAAGAATACTAAGATTTACAAAGATAATTTAACCCTAAGTTATTATTTGCCTTTTTCACTGTGTTAACATTTGAGTAAAACTGTGGCACATTAGCACGAACTGAGGCGATAGCATCAAATTGAGTCATTAAGTTCTTCACCCCCCTGTACTTGCAGTTAAAAAAAAAAAAAAACTAGTTTCACTCAAGAATGTCCTTGATGAAAACAGTAAAGATTATTATTTTTATTAAATCACAACCCTTATATACATGACTTTCCAATATTGGGAGTGACAAAATGGGGAGTACTCCTCCAGCATTTCTGCTGCATACTAGAAGCGTGATGAATGTCTCACACGGACGATTGTTTGGGTTGTACGATGAACTAACCACTTTTACCACGGAATATCATTTTTACTTGAAAGAAAGATTGAGAGACATTAATCATTTAGACTTTGGTATATTTGGCAGATATTTTCTCAAAAATGAATAAGGTGGCCTGTCACTTTGAGGAAAACTACTATTTGCCACCAGTGAAAAATTTTGAGCTTTCACTTGAAAATTAGAATTTTGGAAAACCTGTATCCACTACAGAGAACTTGACAGCTTCCCAATACCTAAAGACTTTTCTGATGGGATCAGCAGTGACACAAACAAATGCCACGTTTTATTCTGTGTAATGGAATTGTCAACATTTGGAGATCTGCAACACACAATGAACTGTATTTCCCAAATAACCAATGAGCGATGTCACAAAGTCACGCAGGGAAAGATCCACCCAAAGTATAAAAGAAAGCAATGGATTTTAATATAATCGGGTACAAAAAGTACGTGGGTATTGTTTCAGATTCTACATTACAACTAAGCTTTGAGAAACTGCTACTTGTTGAGTTTTGGGGTAGCTATCAAATAATATCCACTGAAAAAACTATCAAAATACTCTTCCTTTTTCCATCTCCATTTCCTGGATGAAGTTGGGTTTTCTTCATATACTTCTACCAAAACAATGTATCATGACAGATTGAACGTAGAGACAGACATGAGAATCTACTCATCTTCTATTAAACCAGATATTAGAGATTTGAAAAAAAAAATGTAAAAGAATGCACTCTTCTCACCAAATTTTCTTTGTTCTGGAAAAAGTTATTTTTCACAAAAACTGCTATTTGTTACTATGTAATGAGCATATTTTTAATAAATAAATTTTCTCAATTTCTGTTTTACTTTTGAATACAAAATATATTGATAGATGTAACCTATATAAACAACAGCTCTTCAGGGTCCTCAATTTTTAAGAGTATACCGGTTTGAGACCTGCTCCCCTGGAACAAAGAGTCTTACCAAAGTGCGGCAGCAGCCTAGCCACTGGGCTGACATAGATCTGAGAACCAAGATTTAATGAGCATTTACTATTTGCCATGCACTGTCCCAATCCTGACAGGCATCCTTAAAGGTAGGCACTACTATTATCCCCAATTTACAGGTGAGAAAACTGAGACCATGGACGTTAAGCTAATTTGCCCAAGGTTACACAAGTGGTGCAGCCAGTACTCAAAACCAGATGCTCCCTAGGGCCTATGGCTCATCTACTCCAGTTTAAACTGCCAGCCACCTTTTCAACACAAACTCATCATTCTAATTACTGGTACATTTTCAGTGTTGTATTGCAAAGCAAAGTAATATTCCTTCAATGAGAAAGATCATTATCCTTTCTCAGATCTTTGTTCTCCGAGTTCCATAAATTGCTTTCGACTAGCCTTAGGTTTAAAAATTGTGTTTGGGCGATCGGCCCCGCGGCCGAGTGGTTAAGTTCTCGCGCTCTGCTTCAGAAGCCCAGGGTTGGGTTTCACTGGTTCTAATCCTGAGCGCGGACATGGCACCGCTCATCAGGCCATGCTGAGGCGGCGTCCCATATGCCACAACTAGAAGGACCCACAATGAGGAATAAACAACTATGTACTAGGAGGCTTTGGAGAGTAAAAGGAAAAAAATAATTAAAAAAGATTAAAAAAATTGTGTTTGGATGGAAACGTTTGTCACTTCATCTAACTGCACATTTAAAAGGATGTGTTTTGCAGACTTAAAAGGGATGTGTTTGAGTGTAAATTATGGTTCAATAAAGTTGAAAAAAATTTTTAAACACCAAAGGAATTTTACTTGCTACGCATAAAAAAGAAAGCTTTTTAAAAACTGGCCATTAGAATTACCTTTGGATCAAATTTCTTGGCTATCTTCTTTTAAATGTGTATATTATGACAAATCTGGCCCAACCTCTCACCAAATTTCTACTTGTACCATATTATTTGACCCTGTTCTTTTCAGTACTTTGTTACTTTTTTAAAAAAACTATTCGTTTTCTTTGGACTCAGGAGGGAAACTTTTATCGGTCCTTGGTAAAGAGAGCACGTCCATACACGACAAAAAATTGAGCCCCGAAGAACAAACTGTGTACACACAGAAGAGCTTTTAATTCTGGCAGACAACAAAGATGCTGGGTTTTTGTTTTTCTTGCGTATCACTTGTTGATCGCTGCCGTACAGCTGCATATAAATGAGCACTCTGCCAGATACTTCCCAAACAAAATTATGAAGACAGCCACCACTGACCTACTGCTTCTTATGCCTTTAGTTTAGGTAATTCAACGAAAAAATAACAGGGAGCAATTAATCTAAATTGTGTGGGTGATTCTTCCTGCCCTCCCATTCAATGAGCCTCCTTGCTGAGCAGAGTGCGGTGTTCCCTTGGGTGATTACAAGTTTCTGTGGGCCTTACATGGGGTGAGCATTTGGATTTCAGGCTTTTTAGAGGTAATTTTGCTTCTATGTGGTTCTCACCTTCCCTCCACGTGAGCTACAACTTCATCACACCTGCACCATCACTCCTATATCACACCTGGAGCAACGGAGGTTGGGCATTAAATTAAATAACTTTTCCAAGACAACACAGCTATTAAAGCGACAAACCTAAGACCTGACTCCAGAGCTCCCTCCTAATCATGTTTAATTCCACCACCTAGGAGAATTCATCACCCAAAATGCTCATCAGCCAGAGGATCCAGAAACATAGGGATTCTTGGAGCTTTGGGACAAACCTGACCCTTGTACAGATAAGGAAATTGAGGTCCAGAAAGATAAAGTTGACTTGCCTGAATTCATGCAGCAGTATCCAGATAGCTTCCAACACAAGATCCAGATACACCACACTTCCTCCTGCACAAACCCCACCCCTCTCTACCTTACCTGTCCCACCCAACCTCTTTCCTGTCTCAGTCCCACCCAGCTCCACCTTCTCTCATTCCTTCCTCTTCCCCAAAGAGGTAAGAGGAGGTGTGAGTGGGTAATGCTCTGCTTCTGCTTTCCTCAAAAGCTGGCTGAGAAAAAGCAGCTCCCTGGACGCCACACCCACTCAAGTGGCCCTGATTGCCAGAGAACGGAGCAGTGAGGAAAGGCCAGAGGCTATATGGGGAAGCCAATCATCCTTAAGTAGACAACTGTTTGATGGGGTTCAGGTGCAACAGTCTTTTCAACAATGGCTCCCTGGAACGCAATGCAAAGCAGATCAGACGATTGCCAGGTGCATTCACGGAATGAGATGCAGAAAATGAGAGCTAATCTATGGGCTTTGCCCAGCTGGCCTTTCCTGGCCCCCACAACTCTTAGAAAGGATCTGAAAAGGCATGAAACCAAAGAGGCAAGACCCCCTTGGATTATACAGGCTCTCCTGGCTTGAGGTTAGGAGGAAATAAAACAGCATCCACAAAGGGTCCAGCCAGCATCTTAGCATCTAGGAAGGACTCTGGAGTCAAGGAACGAATGAATGGACATGGGCAACTCTGCAGGAGACAAAGCCTCACCTTCAAGGCCAGCTTTCCTCCTCCCCCAATCTCCGTGTTTCAAACAGATGGGGTCTTGGAGCCCAGGTCTGGCCTCTGTCCCTTGCATTTCAGAAGCGGTGAGCCAGGGCTCTATGCAGGGCGAGCGATCCGCTGACACAATTCTGGTAAGTCTCCTCTGACCTCTAGAACAAACTGCCTCCCCGCCAGCCTCAGCCTGGGCTCTGCATTTGCTCACCAAGGACCCCGTGTTCTCCCATCCCCCCTTTTCTCCCTGTCCCTCATAAAGTGGGTCCTTCAGTCTCCATAGTCAACCGGGCCCAAGAAGCATGAGGGAGGGCCACACAGGCCTCGGCCCTTGGTGAGATTAATACTGTGGTAGACCAGCTGGCACCTCACCCAGCCTGGCTCCACTCCCCAAGTCCCGCTGGCCCAGCTGCCCCGGCTGCGTGCGCCCCCCAGCTCCAGGGAGTGCCAGCCATCTTGGCTCCCTCCCCGG